GAGACGATTAAAAAAACCCAATAATTTAAAACAAATTAAAATTCAAATTTAAAAATTTAAAAGAAAGGGGAGAAAATTAGGCTAGGCCGGCTTGCTGGAATAGGAGGGTCTTAAGAGCACGGCGGAAAGTGTGCAGATCCGGGATCCTCCGTATCTCCGGGGGGAGCTTGTTCCAGATAGTGGGTGCCCCCACAGAGAAGGCCCTCCCCCTGGGGGCCGCCAGTCGACACTGCTTGGCTGACGGCACCCGGAGGAGCCCCTCTCTATGAGAGTGTTTACTTACGGTCTACTTACGACCGTTGCAGCATCCCCGTGGTCACATGGTCAAAATTCAGATGCTCGGCAACAGACTCATATTTATAACGGTTTGCAGAGTCCCAGTCGTTGTGTAATCACTTTTTGGGACCTTCTGACAAGCTAAATGGCAACCTCTGCCTTTTTATTGCTTGATTGGTCGGCTGCCATTTTAATGGGGGGAAGGGGGAGCTGTTTGAATGTCTGGGAGGGGGGGAAGTGAGCTGGTGGAGAAGAGGGCAGAAAGTTTTCCTCAGCGTTTTCTCCATATCTGGGAAGAGCGCTGATAAACACTCAAGGTCAACCGTCGTGGCCTATCAGGAGGATGGCACCATCGGAAGCTGCACCCCACATGACCCCTGCGGGGGATGTGGATTGGATAATCCTGACTGGACGATTGGGGGGAGGGTTTTAAGGATGCTTTCTATATGTGATTTTCGCGCCTATTGCCTCAGACCTTGCTTTTTTTTTTGGTTGCTTTCAGTTCATACTCAGTAAAAGTACCTTTCTCTATGAAAATGGAGTCGGGGTTTTTCTTTCTTGAGTACTGAAAGGAGGCACACCTGACACTAAATCAATGGGCAAGCCAGATTCACTTAACAACGGTGTTGCTTCCTTAACATCCGCATTGATTCACTTAACAACGGTGGTAAAAGGAAGGTGGTAAAATGGGGTAAAAATTCACTTAACAAGTGTCTTGCTAAGCAACAGAGATTTTGGGGTCAATTGTCGTCGTAAATTAAGGATTACCTGTATTCTACCCTGGCCTCCTGGAGGGAAGGCAAGGAGATAAATCTCACCACTTAATGCCAACAGGAATTCATGCGCTACCATGTGGTGGAATGCAAAGGCAGCTGCCGAAAAAGTCAAACCCAATTAAATTAGGGACAGATGTGTGTTTGCCTGATTCCCAGCAGTTCATTGGCACTGCTTGGCTTTTGAGGTGGATTGGCTTCTTATTCAACTCAACTCAAATGAAAATTGAGTGTTACTTTGGGGGAGGAGAGTAGAGAGAAGGAAAAGTTCTTACTCAGGTGCCGTGATGGCGAACCTGCCGGCAGCCCTCCCAGGCTCTGTTTTCACTGGCGGAGGGTTGCAGGAGGCTATCGCAGCCAAAAACGCAGCTCGGGAGCCCTTCTAGCTGGCAGAGCGCTTGGGCCGCCACAGGCGCCCCCCTGACACAAGTGACGTCAATCTGGCCGCACCCACCCTGGTTTATGCTCACCCCAGGCCCCTGGGGGCGGGGCCAGTCAGAATTTTTACTACCGGTTCTCCGAATTACTCAAAATTTCCGCTACCAGTTCTCCAGAACTGTTCAGAACCTGCTGAAACCCACCTCTGGAGACCATGTTTTCCATCCTCTATAGAAAATTCCTCCTTTGTTTCATCAAAGGGCAAACACAGCCACCACCCACCAATCACTTGCAGATGGTCCCACCTCCACGACAGGAGACGATGTTTATATGGTTTAGGTGAATAAGAAGGCAGAAATAACATCATAACCAAAGCCGGGCAAGAATTTATGCACCACTCCGTGTGTATGTATGCAGAATAAATCTGTTTAGTCACCATTATGCAATCCTAGCATTACAATCCTTTAAATAGGTTTGGGGGGGGGGAATATTCTTCTTCCAGCTCCATGAAAGAAAGAGTTTCTACAAAAAAAACAAAAAGAGGAAAGTTTCAAGGGGTTTTTGAACCCAAAACGTAATACCCAGGAGCAGAATTGCAGTGGTGGAATTGTTGCGATTGTGTTAATTAGGTGATTTCTCCCCCCTAAGATAAGAAGTCTTGGCTGAGACTGGGAGAGCTTGGTCACGATGAGTAACTACAGAAAGTATTTTTCCTCCATGACCCAAGGGGAGCTGAAACATGACTTCATCGCCTTAACTTCTCCTCTTGAAAAACAAAAGGGTGCCATTCTGAACAGATCATGGGGTGAATATTCAGAAACAGTTTTGCTGCCTAAGGACACAGGACTGGCTGGAGACCTGATCATTTATTTTTCAGCAATTCCTACTTTTCTAGGCAAGCGCTTGTTGTTGTTGTTTTTATAAACGTCTCCGTTTATTCGCTGCAGCTTTAAAAGCCCATAGAACATTTTACATAAAGAGCAACAGAGATGGAATTTGCTAATTGGAACTCTGCCCTCCTAGCAAACACAATGCCCAATTGAAAACAACCAAGGACATCAATCTCTCCCCAAACATTTTCAAATAAACACCCAAAAATGTACTTTGCTATGAGCAGCATTTTGGAGAAAGGTCACAGTTTTATGGTTCTTAAAATTACCACCCCCTTTCAGATGAAAGCCCAGAATTTGGTCCAGTCGATATAACAGAATCACAGAGTTGGAAGGGACCTTGGAGGTCTTCTAGTCCAACCCCCTGGTCAAGAAGGAGACCCTATACTATTTAAGACAAATGGTTGTCTGGTTTCTTCTTAAAATCCTCCAGTGTTGGAACAGCCATAACTTCTGGAGGCAAGCTGTTCCACTGATTAATTGTTCTAACTGTCAGGAAATTTCTCCTTAGTTCTAGGTTGCTTCTCTCCTTGATTAGTTTCCACCCATTGCTTCTTGTCCTGCTCTTAGGTGCTTTGGAGACTAGGCTGACCCAAAGTATGCATGCCTCCTTTAAAATGCTTGCTGCAGAAAGAGAGAGAGAGAGAGAGAGAGAGAGAGAGAGAGAGAGAGAGAGAGAGAGGGAGGGAGGGAGGGAGGGAGGGAGGGAGGGAGGGAGAGAGAGAGAGAGAGAGAGGGAGGGAGGGAGGGAGGGAAGGAGGGAGAGATGATAGGTAGGTAGATAGGTAGGTAGGTAAGTAGGTGGATGGATGGACGGACGGATGTAGATAGTGATTTTTTTTAAAGCCTTCTTAATACTGACCATTGAGGAAACTCTTACTCTATTTAGAAGTTGATGTGTTGCAGGAGTGAAATCCTATTGGTTTGAACCGGTTCGGGAAAACCGCTAGGGATTATGGGCATCAGTTCCCCGAACTGGTAATAATTACCCCTCCTTGGCCCCACCCACGCCTGGCCGGTCGCCGCTCACCTCTTCCGGCCGCTCGATATTCCACAGAATTCAATGTTAAATGCAGCAGAGAGAATGCTAACTTTTCTCCCTCCATTCAGAATGGAGCTGCTGCAGCCTGTCCCTTTAAGGTAGTCCCCAGGAGGGAGGAGGACAGGGGGGAGCAGCTGGAATGGAGCCATTTTTGTGGAAGGCAGGAAAATGGGGAAGGGGATTTTCCTGCCTGTCATCCATTCCTCAAGGTCAGCACAGACTGAGGGAAGGATGGTAGGCAGGAATATTCCCCTCCCCATTTTCCTGCCATTCGCGGCAAGGAGTGGTTGGGAGGGGAGGGGCCGGTGAGGAGCCCCTCGATGTGAGTGATGTTGAGTTGGCCACGCCCACCCAGTCACATGACCTCCCCCCAACAAGCCACGCCCACAGAACCGGTAGGGGAATTTATTTCACCCCTGATGTGTTGATTTGCATTGTATAATGTTTAAGAAGAGGCTTCCTCCTCCTCCTCTTCCTCCTCCTTTTTAATTTACACAGGACCCTGATCTGGATCATGATTATTATGGTCAGAATTCACAAGGTTCCCCCACCATCCTTTTGTTGGGAAAAATTCACATACTTCCTTGTGGCTTTGAGAGTTTTACTTCAAAACACACAAGCATCGTGTAGGATTGGGCTTATTAATGCACCAAAGCAGGGGTGGGGGGTGGGAGGGAACAAAATAAACATTTGGAATGATCATGGATGTTGCATAAGAAGAGAGTGGGCAGAAGGGATGAGACCACCTCATCCAATCCTTAAGCTTGTCAGGAGCCTGCTGTAGATCAAGGCACCAAGCCATCTCAAGACAGACGACCAGCTGGAAAATACATCATCCAGGTTTATTCGAATTGGAACCATTTCCGTTGGGTATGTTGCCTAGGAACCTAACTCAAAATCTGCCTGCACCCAACATCACTTCCATCAGGGAAGAACCCAGAATTGTCACAACTCGTGGTTCTTACAGGCTATTTTTTGCTTATGGACCACAACCGCATTTCTGATTAGATCCCCTTCTCTTTGGACAAAACATTGCGTTTGAAAGGAGAAATGGAAGACAAAAGTTATGCTTTTTATGGTTAAGATTCATATTGCATCTTGATGACAATTGTCTAGAGGAACTACTACAAAATTGAACTATTAGCAGTGGTGGGTTTCAATTTTTTTTACTACCGGTTCTGTGGGTGTGGCTTAGTGGGTGTGGCATGGCTTGGTGGGCGTGGAAGGGGAAGGGTACTGTAAAATCTCCATTCCCACCCCACTCCAGGGGAAGAATACTGTAAAATCTCCATTCCGTCCCCACTCCAGGGGAAGGTTATTGCAAAATCCCCATTTCCTCCCGATCAGCTGGGATTTGGGAGGCAGAGAATAGATGCGGGCGGGGCCAGTCAGAATTTTTATTACCGGTTCTCCGAACTACTCAAAATTTCCGCTACCAGTTCTCCAGAACTGGTCAGAATCTGCTGAAACCCACCTCTGATTATTAGTTATGGCATGGCGAACCGGTATGAATGACAACCAATAAATCTTCATCACCCCCCCAGAAAAATTAGCTGTGATTATGAGACAATAAAGCTTTAATCAGGATCGGTGCCAACTACCCCTCATACAATGCCAAAACCCCAAAATTTTACTACCTACCAGTCCAGCTATTGGTGTTGACAGACGGTTGATCTTTTTAATGATGCCAGGTTTGATCTTGTTAATTAGACTATTAAAAAAGTGAGAGAGAGAGGGTTAATCAAAAATTTAAACACATTTTTAAATTCTAAACATACGCATTATGAGTACAAAGTAATGCTTTCTCTTCCCCTCTTCTATACACACACACAATATATATATTGTACTACTTTGTACTTTTAATATCTATGTATATATGTGTGTGTATTTATATATATACATGTATATGTGTGTGTGTGTGTGTGTGTATGCATGCATGCATGTATATATGTATATGTAAACACACACACACATACCGTTTTTCCCCGAAAATAAGACCAGGTCTGATATTAATTTTTGTTCCAGAAGACGCATTAGGTCTTATTTTCTGGTTATGTGTTATTTTGGGGGAAACAGGGTATATGTATGTGTGTGTGTGTGTGTGTGTGTGTGTGTGTGTGTGTGTGTGTATATATATACACACACACACACATATACATACATACATACATACATACTTTTTTTTAAAAAAAAAATTGATTTATATGCCGCCCTTCTCCGGAGACTCAGGGCGGCTTACAATGTGCTCAGCAATAGCCTTCATCCTTTTGTATATTTATACAAAGTCAGCTTATTGCCCCCACAAACTGGGTCCTCAATTTACCTACCTTAGAAAGGATGGAAGGCTGAGTCAACCGTGAGCCTTGGCGAGATTCGAACTTACAGTAATTGCAGACAGCTGGTCTTAATAACCAGCTTAATAACAGGGTGCCTTAGACCATTGTACTACCAAGGCTAAAGATACTACCAAGATAAATATATCATTTATATTTCGCTGATAAAGAAATAAAGGGAGACTAGTATAGATCTATTTCAAGCTATTTAGCTCTCATCAGTTAGTCATACCCTTACTCAGATTCAAACTTGGGCTACCTGCATGTTAGGCAGTTGTATTAACCTCTAACCCACAAGTTCTCCTCCCTTCATCAGCTGAATCGAACAATATATATATTGTTCAATTCAGCTTTTGCATAGATTAGATACCTGATCTATATTAAATCAAAATTTTGTTAACCCTTGGAAAATAAATACACTATATTAATGAAAGATGCTAAATGGGAGCTTCACATAGCTGGCTATCTAAAATATTGTGTGTGTGTTTTTTAAATTTTCTTTGCTTTCAAGGAAACTCTGCTCTGTTTAAGCAAAAGATTTCATCCTAAATTCTTGCCAAATCTTCGGCTGGTCTCAGTATCACTATGTATGAATCAACAATCCAAAATCTTTTAAAATCTCTTTTGTTGTGGAATAAATTTCTGATAAAACTGATTAAACTCTTGAGTTTCTTGGAACACAATTAGATGGCTGCTGGCTTAAAGATACAGTTTATAATATCAGAAAGTGGTTAGACTTATCAGTTCTTTCTGAAAAACAAGACACAATCAACTTTGCGGTGTGAGTTAAGATCCCAGTGTGTGAACAGCAGAAAAGCTAACCAATTTCTTCCCTAGTTTGACTCGGATTTTCAAAAATCCTCAGAATAAACCATCAGTGGCCAGATTCTCATAAGACTGTCTTTGAAGAGGCTTCAAACCTCTCCTAAAAATAGATTTTATTGAGACCCAAGTCAGTCCATTTTTGGTGCCTGCTCTGCTGATAATTATGCATAAGCACTTTTATTTAATGACTGGTGACTTATTACGACTGGTCTACTGGAGATCATTTCTATTAGATGGAACATTTATTGGCGATTATTTATTTCCCAGCTGTTAAGTAAAGAGCAGATATGAATCAGCTCCACTGACTTTAAGAACAGGAGTGGGAACCAGGATGCTCTGCTTTAAGCAAGGTTGAAGGACTGCTGGTTGATTCAATGCCCAAAACACTGGGATCAACTAGAAGTGAATTAGAATAGAATAGAATGGAATGGAATGGAATGGAATGGTGGAGTGGAGCGGAGCGGAGCGGAGCGGAGCGGAGCGGAACGGAACGGAACGGAACGGAACGGAACAGAACAGAACAGAACAGAACAGAATAGAATAGAATAGCAGAGTTGGAAGGGAAGTTGGAGTTCTAATCCAATACTGCTTAAGCAGGAAACCCTACACCATCACCTCCAATCCCATGGTACCCAAGAACAATTACCTCTTAAGTATCTATTCTTCTATGCAACGCAAGGTAAGGGAACAACTGGTTTTCCTTGATAGCTCAGCAATGACTAAGTGGTGCTAAGATCATCAATCAATCAATCAGAATAAAACTGGAATGGACACTGGTTGTCTTCTAGTCCAACCCCTTGCTCAAGAAGGAGACCCTATACAATTTCAGACAAGTGGCTGCCCATCTCTTCTTAAAAACCTCCAGTGATGAAGCAGCCATAATTTCTGAAGGCAAGCTGTTCCACTGACCAATTGTTCTCACTGTTAGGAAGGTTCTCCTTAATTCCAGCTTTTTTCCTCTTTTTGATTAGTTTCCATCCATTATTTCTTGTCTTGCCTTCTGGGGCTTTGGAAAAGCTGTAAAGCTAAGACCTGGTTATCTACGGGACCGCCTGCTACCACCAATAGCCTCCCACCGGCCGGTACGCTCTCATAGAGAGGGGCTCCTCCAGGTGCCATCAGCCAAACAATGTCGACTGGCGGCCCCCAGGGGGAGAGCCTTCTCTGTGGGGGTACCTACTCTCTGGAACGAGCTCCCTCCGGAGATACAGAGGATCCCGGATCTGCGCACCTTCCGTCGCGCGCTCAAGACTTTCTTATTTCATCAAGCTGGCCTGACCTAAGTCTTTCCCCTTTTTAAATGGAAATTTTAAATTTGGTTTTAAATTATTGGGGTTTTAAATTTGTTCAGCCAAATTATTTAATTCGTTTTAGTTTATTTTAAATTTTGTATCTATATGTTTTATTCTATAGCTGTTCACCGCCCTGAGTCCTTCGGGAGTAGGGCGGTATACAAATTCAATAAAAGTAAAAAGTAAAGTAAGTAAGTAAGGTGCCCCATCAAACAAAAAAAACAAAGCAAACCATGCTTGTCTTTTATTTTCCTCCTCCCTTCATGTAATAAAAATAGATTGAAATCATTCCAAAGTCAGGAGGCAATGGCCAAGCCTTGCTGAAAACGTTTGCCAAGAAAAGTGCAGGGACGTGTCCAGGCAGTCTCTGGGAATCTGACACAACTGAATGGAAAAAAACCAAGAATATTAACATCCAGAATTTAGGGACATATTGATTCAGAAGTTGTGGGAACTCCATCACTGGACTTTTCAAGAAGAGATTGGAGGGCCATTTGTCCAGAGTGGCATATAGGGTCTCCTGAAAATAGGTTGACCTCTTCTTCTTTAGGTCTCCTGCTTGAGCAGGGGGTTGGACTAGAAGACTTCCTGTGCATTTTTTAATGCATCTTCCCAAAAATTCTTATTCCTTTTTCCTCGTTCCTTTTTTTAAAAAATTTCATTTTAAAGGGTAGCATCCAAATCAGAATATATTTTGCTTGCATGTGGGTGTTCGTTAGCATAAAATGCTAGCTTTGGAAAGAGATCTCCATCTGCCAAACATTGTATATTCTCACATTTCATTGCCTGCCAAAAACAATAAAAGCTACTTTAAAGTTGTTAAAATTCTCTGCCTATCGTTCTCCCTTTGGAGATCAGGATGGCCTTCAGCCTGTTGGCCTCTTGTAAGGCCTTGAAGATCTTGTTGTGTGTCCAGGACTGGGGGGCCAAAAGGTGTGCGGGGCCCCATATCCTGCCTATATTATCATCTTTAAACATTGTTTTCTTAGTTGCTTTATAATATTTATTTTTAGCCTAAGGATATTTATCCGTGTAGTAGGGCTGGGTTGCTATTATCCTTCTCATCTATCCTATTACCTTCTCCTATTTTTATCTTAACGATTTATCCATTTGTTTGTCTTTTATGATTTATGATTGTATCTTATGATTTATCACTTTGTGGTTTGTATGTACACAGATAGCTTATGTTTGTATGAACCCTGTATGTTTGAAAGCAATGAGAGCTTATGCACTGGAGATAAATTCCTAGTGTGTGCAATCACACTTTGCCAATTTTGAATTGAATTGAATTGAATTCTATTCTATTCTATTCTATTCTATTCTATTCTATTCTATTCTATTCTATTCTATTCTACTCTACTCTACTCTACTCTACTCTATTCTTATTCCTATTCTATTCTATTCTATTCTATTCTATTCTATTCTATTCTATTCTATTCTATTCTATTCTATTCTATTCTATTCTATTCTATTCTATTCCTATTATATTCTTTATTCTTTCCCTATCCCTATCCTATCCTATTCATTTTTGTACCATATTGTAGTTGTTTTTTTTTTTTTTAAAAAATTGATTTATATGCCGCCCTTCTCTGGAGACTCAGGGCGGTTTACAATGTGCTCAGCAATAGCCTTCATCCTTTTTGTATATTTATACAAAGTCAGCTTATTGCCCCCACAACTGGGTCCTCAATTTACCTACCTTAGAAAGGATGGAAGGCTGAGTCAACCTTGAGCCTTGGCGAGATTTGAACTTGCAGTAATTGCAGGCAGCTGGTCTTAATAACCAGCTTAATAACATGGTGCCTTAGACCACTGTACTACCAAGGCTCTTTTTTTTTTTTTTAATTATTCAGCATTGTTCTCTGCCCAGAGTCAATTGTTTGAGATGGGTGGCTATAGAAAATAAACAAACACATAAACAAGAACTTAGAAGTTCAGTTTGGAGAAGTTCAGTTTTCAAAAAAGTTCAGTTTGGGAACAAGTGGGCACCACGCCAATATCAGAAAAAAAAATCCAGGAGAAACACCAACAGTGATACAGCCATGTTCTACAAGCAGCACCTGACACTGTTCCCTACACTGCCTTCACTTTAATGTAGATGGCAAGTGCCCCTTATGGAAGACCAAAGCAAAGATGGCGAGATATAATAAATGCAGACATGAAAAAATATCCAATTGGACTTGGATGATGCATCTGAGTGCAAAAGATGGTGTTTGTTGATCCAAAAAGTGGACCCTGCACTTGGTGGGAAAAATCATGATGATGAGGAGGAGGAGGAGGAGGGGGGGAGGAGGAGAAGGAGGAGGAGGAGGAGGAGGAGGAGAGGAGGAGAAGGAGGAGAAGAGGAGGAGGAGAATGAAGAGGAGAAGAAGAAGAGGAGGAGGAGGAGAAGAAGAAGAGGAGGAGGAGGAGGAGAAGAGGAGGAGGAGGAGGAGGAGGAGGGGAGGAGGAGGAGGAAGAAGAATAAGAGTAAGAATGGAAAGGTGGAAGACTCTCAGAAGGAATTATTCATGCTTTTGAAATTGTTTACTCTTTAAAATTGTCCCGCGTTCTATCGATACACTGAACGATGCACACAAGATCTCCACTTCCAGAAGGAGAAAATTAATAAAAGGAGGCAGGAAAGGCTGGAAGGAAACTTGCACTGGGAGACATTTATGCAGCCTTAGAACATATGAGGAGCATTGTCTGAATTATTATTTCAATAGCAAGATGGTTTGTCAAAACCAAAACCAAAGCAAAATAAACAAAAACAAAAGACTCCAGTTTCCGGGTTGCTGAGTTTCTGAAACCAGGGTGGTTTTATTTTTTACCAAAATAGCATTGCCAAACATGACACAGGGCAGAAATTTTTTAATAGGCAAGATTATCTAAAGGATGCTTTAAAATGACAGTTAATATTGCAGTGATCTGGATCAGCTAGTCCAGAAACCCAGTAGGGAATCCAGGGGAAAAAAAAATATGGCCACTTTTAGGAACTCCAGTTGGGCTCCCTTCCACATTCCCCTTCCCACCTCAAAGTTTTTTCTTCCTTCCAGTGTTTCCTCTTCAAATAAGTTTGCTAATTTAATTCAATTTCGAGACCTCCTGACTCCTTAACCAATCTGGACAGCTTACAATTAAAAGGCAACCACAACATACTGTATTTAGAAAAAGTCACAATCAACCAGAAGATTATACACTCCCAATAAAAACCCCAAATCATAGTGACTCCCCCAACCACCCTATCCCAAAGCCTGGGAGAATAACCGCATTTTTAACCATTTCTCACACAACATTTCTTGGGGGATAACATTGCAAAAAGCACATTCTTAGGTCCTACAATAGGGTGACAATATGGGTAGTCCTTGACTTATGACTGTTGCTAAGCAAAACCACTGTTAATTGAGTTTTGCCCCATTTTACAACTTTACTTGTCACCACGGTTAAGTGAACCACTGCAATTGTTAACTTAGGAATTGTTAAGTTAGGAACTGCTGCAACTGTTAAGTTCCTAAGTTAGGAACCGCTGCAATTGTTACGTCGAGTGAATCTTTGCTTCCCTGTTGACTTTGCTTGCCAGAAAGTTGCAAAAGGGGATCCCATGATCCCTGGATACCGCCACTGTCGTCGGTTGCCAAGTGTCTGAATTTTGATCATGTGACCAAAGGGATGCTGCAACGGTCATAAATGTAAAAAATGGTCATTTTTTTCAGTGATTTTTATAACTTTGAACGGTCACTCAATGATTTTGTTGTAAGTCAAGGACTTCCTGTATTTAATTGATGGCACTCAGAAGGTGCATTGACTCTCCCTGACTGATTGGCTAGGCCAGGGGTCTCCAACCTTAAACACTCAAAGAGCCATTTGGACCCGTTTCCCACAGAAAAGAAAACACCGGGAGCCACAAAACCTGGGTGGGCGTGACCAAGTCGATGTTACTCACTTCCACCAGTCACATGACCTCCCCCCAGCCACGCCTACCCAGCCGGTCATTAGGGCAGAGAATTGGTTGTTTAAAAACATCGGGAACCACAAAATCCTTTTGACATCTCTCTCTCCCTCCCTCCCACCTCTCTCCCCACTTCTCTTTCTGTATCTCTCTGTCTCTGCCCCGGCCACTTCTCCATCACCCACCATTGCCCTTACCTTCTCAGGCCAGGCAAGGAGTGACTGGGAGGGGAGGGTGAAGGGCGGGGCCAGCCAGTAGTGGGATCATCTGACAGGGAGCCACAACAGAGGGCTCAAAGAGCCAAATGCGGCTCCGGAACCGCAGGCTGCTGACACCTGGGCTACGCAAAAATACTTGGGGACAAGCCATCCTTCAGCCAGCTAAGCTAACTTGATTTTTTTTTCAATATAGCCATATACAGTAGAGTATAAACCAGTGGTGAAATGCAACCGGTTCGCACCAGTTCGGGGGAACCGATAGTGATAAAAACTACCGGTTCGGGCAAACCGGTAGTAAAAAAAAAAAGCTACCGGTTCCTCCGAACCAGTATTTCCGACGATCAGCTGTGCCGCACGATTTAAAATTGCTAGAAAGCAGGAAATCCTGTTTTCTAGTGAATCTAAATCGCGCGGCACAGCTGTTAACCCCCTCACTGTTCTACTTACCTTCCCAAGCTTTTTCCCGCGAAGTTTGCGTTTGGCCTGTACTGCACATGCGCACACATGCAGTGTGTGTTAGTGTACACGGCGCCTGCACATGTGCGCAGTGTGCATTTGGCGTGCACTGCGCACGTGTGGGCAGCAAATTGGTGGCAAACCAGGGAAGATTTCACCACTGGTATAAACCTATTTATAAGATACCAAAACACCATAAAAAGTCTCTCCGTCACGAAGGCAGAATTGCTTCTGCAGCTTCAGAGGAATTGACAATAGTATTAGTTCAACAGTAGGGGCTTTTCACAAAGACATCCTGGCCTTTTCTGGCTCAGAATCAGGGGTGAAATGCTCCCGGTTCGGACCAGATCACCTGATCCAGTAGCGATGGAGACAGGTGGTTCGGAGAACTGGTAGCAAAAATCCCTGCCCTCCCCCCCATGCCCAGCTGAGCCGCACAATCATCAGAGGCTTTTTTTTTTTTACTTTTAAAAGCATTTTTTCTACAACTTCAGCCAAAAAAAATGCTTTTAAAAGTTTAAAAAAAAAAAAGCCTCTGATGATCACGCGGCTCGTCAAAGGCATTTAAAAGAAAAAAAGGGTTTTTTCTTTTAAATGCTCAGGCGATCCCAGCTGAGTTCCCTGATCAGGGAACTCAGCTTGGATCGTCAGAGCCTTTTGAAAGCATTTTTTTACAACCTCTTAGCCAAAGAGGTTGTAGAAAAAATGGTTTTAAAAGTAAAAAAAAAAAAATGGCCACACCCACCTTGCCCCCCCGCCAAGCCACGCCCACAGAACCGGTAGTAACAAATTTTAGATTTCACCCTGCTCAGAATACTTACTCGCAAAGAAGGATCCCATTTTCTAAAGCAGCGCGAAAACTCTTGCTTCCGAAACTTTTCCCGGTAACCGCCTGCGAAGGAAAACATAACAATCATGAGCAACCTCATGGAAAAATTAGACATATCAATGGGTAACTTTCAAGAGGGCGCATCTATGCCCGCTTTGAAGAGCAGGAAACATCTTCTTTTCAACCATGACCTTGTGAAGGAGCCGGGTATGATGCTGTTATAGGTGCTCAGAGAAAATCCAAAGTGGAAGAACAGCCCAACTCCTGCAGTTTTGTACCTTAAGAGATTTTTGGTCTCAACCAGTTTGAGATCAAAAGTCTCTCTGATGTCTGGATGGAGCAGACGTCAAAGTCAAACAAAGCATTGGTTAGGGAAGCTCCCACTCATGAGTATGGAGACCTTTGCTGGAGAAGGGATGTGATGGCAAAGTGTTTTTGATGGCTTCCTCAAGCAAGGAGTCATCTCTCACGCTGATGAGTTAGGACAGTGATGGTCAACCTTTTTGCCATTGCAGGGGGAGTGTGGGGGGGTCACACACACATGTGCCCACACCCATAATTCTATGCCCCCTGCCCCCGTGCATGCGTGTGTGATCCCCCCTCGCTCCCCCTGCTTTTGGCACAAGGTGGGCCCAGTAGGCCCGTTTTTCGTTCTCCCCAGGCTCCAGAGCCTTTCTAGGAGTCTGGGGAGGGCAAAAAAGACATTCCCCACCCCCATGGACGCCCTCCGGAGGCTGGAAACAGCCTGTTTCCCAACTTCCGGTGGGCCTAGAAGGCCCGAAAATTAGCTGTCCAGCGTGCAGATGCGCACTGGAGTTGAGCTCACGTGCCCACCGATATGGCTCCGGGTGCCACCTGTGGCATGCGTGCTATAGGTTCGCCATCACGGAGTTAGGGTGTCACATTTAAATTAAACCACATTCTAGAAGTATAATGGGAGTAATTTGGATCATAAATTACTGCAAGGTTTCTCCAAGAGAAGGTCACACATTGACCCTCCCCCCCCTCCATCCTATTGATTTCCACCGGCATCTGGCCATGCAGTTTATTTTACCTCAGTTTACCGATCTTGGAAGAATGGAAGGCCGAGTCAACCTTAACCTAGTCAGGTTCGAACTCCTGGCTGTGCCCAGAGTTAGCTTGCAATACTGCATTTTAACCACTGCCTCGCCACGGATTAAATGTTGGACACCTAAATGCTCCTTGAAATTATGATTGCACAGATCGAAACATTAGAGACAGAGAGACCGTTTGTTCAGAGGAAAGGGTATTGATTAAATAATCGTGAAAATGCGAAGCCATTGGGAATGGGCCGTGGTGGCGCAGTGGTTAGAATGCAGTGTTGCAGGATGACTTTGTCCACAGCCAGGAGTTCGATTCTCACTGGCTCAAGGTTGACTCAGTCTTCCATCCTTCCGAGGTTGGTAAAATGAGGACCCAGATTGTTGGGGACAATATGCTGATTCTGTAAACCACTTAGAGAGAGGGCTGTAAAGCACTGTGAAGCGGTGTATTCCCCCTTCTCGCAGATGTGGCCCTCCTCACTATCGAGGGCCCACCTCAAGGAAGGGTTTTGGGACCCAGAGAGGTGGCATGTGAAAACGAGGGGATTGAGGGGTTTTTTAACAAAATTTTTAGTCAAATTTTTAAGGGGTCCTAGGGAGGGGGAGGGTCAGATTGGAATTCGGGCTGTGGGTATGGGGGATAACCCACAAGGGGGAGGGTCGGGTCTGGCAGTGAAGCGTGGTGTGGGGGATGGAGGGCCCGGGATCGAGGGGGGGGTTAGAGCTTGTCCGGATAGTTTTTTGAACATCAGTACTGTAGGTAGGAGGGGTAGATATGGCGGGAGCAGGGGGCCATATCGTGTTAGGGGAGTGCGCACTCGCTGTCTACGAGCGGTGGCGTGCTCCGGCCCCCAAGGCTCTACTCGCTCCTCAGGTTGCATAGACCCTCAGGACCCAGGCCTTCGGCTGATGCTGTGCAATGCCAGGTCCGTAGTAAATAAAGCCCCCCTCATCTGTGATCTTGTTCAGGAGGGGGGTGCGGACCTGGCAGGTATTACGGAGACCTGGTTGGGCCAGGAGGGGGGGGGTTCCCCTCATTGAAATGTGCCCGCCAGGTTTCCAAGCATTCCATCAGCCGAGGTCACAGGGGAGGGGCGGGGGGGTAGCGGTTATCATTAAAGAAGGTCTGAGACCGAGGGAGGCCACTGTTCCTCAGACGGCCGGCTGTGAATCCCTTTTTGTGAAATGGGGTCATGGGGTTCAGATGGGTTTGCTGATCACGTACCTGGCTCCCTGCCACGTGGCAACAGCGTTGCCCGAGCTACTCAACGTCATCGCCGCGGTGGCGGTTGATACCCCTAAGCTTATGGTTATGGGGGATTTCAACCTGCCGTCCGTGGGTGAGACGTCAGAGATGGCTCGGGAGTTCATGGCTTCCATGACAGCTATGGACCTGACCCAGTTAATTCATGGCCCTACCCACACAGGGGGAAACACGCTGGATCTGGTTTTTGTCTCTGGACAGTGGTTGAGGGATCTTGATATAGGGGATATAGTTACTGAACCCTGGTCATGGTCAGATCACTCTCTCCTTCGTCTCGACTTTCAAACCGCTGCACCCCGCCGCAGGGAGGCGGAGCCGGTCAGATGGTTCCGCCCCAGGCGCCTGATGGAACCTGACAGATTCCAGACGGAGCTTGGGCCATTTCCTGAGGTTCTGGCACACGCCTCGACTGGAGACCTGGTGGCCGCCTGGGATAGGGCGGCTGCTGGTGCTCTGGATCGGGTCGTGCCTTTGCGGCCTCTGACCCGGCGCCGATCTCAATTGGCTCCTTGGTTTACCGAGGAGCTGAGGGAGTTGAAGCGCCGGAAAAGACGCCTAGAGAGTAGTTGGAGGGCCAGTCTTCTTGAATCTGACCGGACACTAGTAAGATCCCACATTAGGAATTACTTAGTGGCGATAAAAGCAGCGAAATGTAGTTATTTTGCTGCTCTTATTGCGTCATCAGATAATCGCCCGGCCGCCCTCTTTAGGGTGACCCGCTCCCTGCTCCACCAGGAAGCGCGGGAGGACCCCTTGGAGGGTAGAGCCGAGGATTTTGTTCAGTATCTGTATGACAAAATCACTCAGATTCGGGAAGATTTGGACTCCGACTGGGTAGTCTCAGGGGGAGAGACAGGGGCAGGTCTTGAGAATGTTATCTGGGATGAGTTTGATCCTGTGACCCCTGAGGACGTGGACAGGATTCTGGGTAGACTGAACGCGACCACTTGTTTATTGGACCCGTGTCCTTCCTGGTTAGTACTGGCTTCCCGGGAAGTGACACGAGGCTGGCTCCAGGGGATTATAAACGCTTCGCTGAGTGAGGGTGACTTTCCCGCCGCCTTGAAAGAGGCGGTGGTGAGGCCTCTCCTCAAGAAGCCTTCCCTGGACCCGGCAATGTTGGTAAATTATCGTCCGGTCTCCAATCTTCGCTTTGTTGCGAAGGTTGTTGAGAGTGTGGTCGCGCAACAGCTCCCCCAGCACCTGGATGAAACGACGTATCTGGATCCGTTCCAGTCGGGCTTCAGGCCCGGGTACAGCACGGAAACGGCATTGGTCGCGTTGGTTGATGATCTCTGGAGGGCTCGGGACAGGGGGTGCTCCTCTGTCCTGGTCCTGTTAGATCTCTCAGCGGCTTTTGATACCATCGACCATGGTATCATGCTGCACCGGTTGGAAGAGTTGGGGGTGGGAGGCACTGTGTTGCGGTGGTTCTCCTCCTTTCTCTCTGACCGGTCGCAGTCTGTGTTGACAGGGGGACAGAGGTCGACCCCGAGGCCCCTCATATGTGGGGTGCCGCAAGGGTCGGTCCTCTCGCCTCTCCTGTTCAACATTTATGTGAAGCCGCTGGGCGAGATCATCCGTGGTTTCGGGGTGGAGTACCATCAGTACGCTGACGACACCCAGCTGTACATCTCCACCCCGGATCACCCCAACGATGCCCTTGAAGTGATGTCCCGGTGCCTGGAGGCCGTACGGATCTGGATGGGGAGGAACAGTCTCAGGCTCAACCCATCCAAGACTGAGTGGCTGTGGTTTCCGACGTCCCGATATAGTCAGTTGACGCCATCACTGACTATTGGGGGCGAATCATTGGCCCCCACGGAGAGGGCTCGCAACTTGGGCGTCCTCCTGGACTCACGGCTGTCTTTAGAAGAGCACTTGACGGCCGTGACCGGGAGGATTTTTCATCAGGTTCGCCTGATTCGCCAGTTGCGTCCCTTTCTGGATCGGGACTCTTTACGCACGGTCACTCATGCCCTTGTCACCTCCCGCCTGGACTATTGCAACGCTCTCTACATGGGGCTCCCCTTGAGGAGCACCCGGAGGCTCCAACTGGCGCAGAGTGCGGCCGCGCGGGTGGTAATGGGAGCGACATGGCGTTCCCATGTAACACCTCTCCTGCGCGAGCTGCACTGGCTCCCGGTGGTCTTCCGGGTGCGCTTCAAGGTTTTGGTTACCACCTTTAAAGCGCTCCATGGCTTAGGACCCGGGTACTTGCGGGACCGCCTACTACCACCAATAGCCTCCCACCGGCCGGTACGCTCCCATAGAGAGGGGCTCCTCCGGGTGCCGTCAGCCAAACAATGCCGACTGGCGGCCCCCAGAGGGAGAGCCTTCTCTGTGGGGGCACCTACTATCTGGAACGAGCTCCCCCCAGAGATACGGAGGATCCCGGATCTGCGCACCTTCCGCCGCGCCTTAAAGACCTTACTATTTCACCAGGCCGGCCTGGCCTAATTTTCCCCCTCTTTTATAAAAGATTTTTAAAATTTTAAATATTTTTTAGTATTTATATATTCAATTTTAAATTGGTTTTAAAAGTTTGGGGTTTTAAATTTGTCGGGGCCAAAATTATTTAATTTGATTTTATTCTATTTTTTAAATTTTGTATTGTATGTGTTTTTATTGTTTGGCTGTGCACCGCCCTGAGTCCTTCGGGAGTAGGGCGGTATAGAAATCTAATAAATAAAAATAAATAATAAATAAAAAATAAATAATAAGTGTTATTGCTATTTCTTCCCCAGCATCAATTTTTCCACCAGCAGAAGAAATGGCTTGATGTAGCCCTTGATGTCCACAAAGCTATGGCTCTCTAATCCCAGGGGCATTGTCGGAAAGCAAAATCACGGTCAAACCAAGGCCCAAACACACAATACACTTGCACACAACTCACAAAGGATAAAGTGGCCTCAAGGGAACTTCCAACTCCATAGATTTCTAGAAAAACCATTCGTGAAACAGTGTGGCCATTGAAACATCTAGGCCATGCAAACCATCAGCTGTCTTTAACGGTTAATAACATGGAATTCATATATTCTCACCAAAAGAGGAGCAAATGATCTGATATTTACTGCTCCTTAATTTGAAACTGCAGGTAGGGATACGGTGGCTCGGTGGCTAAGATGCTGAGCTTGTCGATTGAAAGGTCAACAGTTCAGCAGTTCGAATCCCTAGTGCCGCATAACTGAGTGAGCTCCTGTTACTTGAGCCAGATTCTGCCAACCTAGCAGTTTGAAAGCACATAAAAAATGCAAGTAGAAAAATAAGGACCACCTTTGGTGGGAAGGTAACAGAGTTCCGTATGCCTTTGGCGTTTAGTCATGGCGGCTACATGACCACGGAGACGTCTTCGGACAGTGCTGGCTCTTCAGCTTTGAAACGGAGATGAGCACCGCCCCCTAGAGTCGGGAAGGACTAGCACATATGTGCGATGGGAACCTTTACCTTTACCTAATTTGAAACCGCAGTGGCTGGGGCAAAGGGTCTTTTCTATTTCTCACTTAGAGGGGGCTGTAAAGCACCATAAAGCGGTATATAAGTCTAAGTGATATTGCTATTTAACAGCTAATATTTTATTTCTGTTTGTTTGCTTACCCGAAGGGCCTTTTCAATGCTGGGCCCTCTCCGATTTCCAAAGAGGCTGGCTGGAATTAGAGGGAGTGATAGATCAGGGCATTGGGGTTATTGGGTGGGAAGGCTGCATTTGACAATTCGTGTCTAATACATGTTGACAGTAGAAAATCATTGACTATTAAATTCAATGATTTCTAGTCTGATCAAAGGGGGAAAAAATCTTTGCTTTCCAGCTGGCTAAATCCAGGGTGTGGTTCATTTCTGGAACAAATGTGAACCGAAAGAGTCCCACGAAACTGGTGCCCAAAACAAAAGCTTTACCCATGTAATTGAATTTTGTATTTATTTATTTTTTCTCTCCCCAGTGGGTTCCAGCCTCGATTTTTTCAATGGCTATAATTAAAAGAGCCTTTCTGAAATATTTCTGCAATGTGGTGTCGACCGAGTTGGCTCAAAGGAGTATTTATACCCTTGCTGAACTCCGGCTTTTAAACTTCTGTTTCAGAAGACTGCAACGAAGAGGTCAAAGCTACGAAGGCTTCTTATCGTGGGCCACGATGTTAAACTTGCCCAGAGGAAGACCAAAACGTTGCAAGATCAAGGGAAGCCATTTCTGCAAAAAATCAGCCAATTCGATCTTTATTATCTAAGCTGATTCCTTTCCAGAATCCGTCAGAAGCTCATATTTTATCATCTCCTGGCTCAAGTGTGCTTATCAAGACCGAGCAGTCTGAAAACTTGATTCTAATCTGAGTTTTTCCCAGACGTAACTTGACCAAGAATAGGTTGCATCCTAACTGTTTCCAAAACCTCATCCAATAATTCAGCTCTGAGGAGACTTGCAGACCCTGCCTGGCTGGGTTGAAAGACTTTACTGCAGACATAACATCACAGAGCAAAGACGGACATGTTCTCAAGAGCTTCGGGGCCCCGGAGCTGAAGGTGTCTTCTTCTCACTATTCTGAATCAATAAATCGTCTCGGGGGGAGGGACTGGAGATTCTGCCTTGCCAGCACCAACTCTTAAAATAGCTGGGTTACTCACTGTACTCAACCAAACTCAAAAAGTTGTACCATGGCTACTTCCAAAGCCACATAGCTCCTTTCATACATAACATTAAGCGGAGACGTTTCACCAGAGGTGGGTTTCAGCAGGTTCTGACCAGTTCTGGAGAACCGGTAGCAGAAATGTGGAGTAGTTTGGAGAACTGGTAGTAAAAATTCTGACTGGCCCCGCCCCCATCTATTCTCTGCCTCCCGAGTCCAAGCTGATTGGGAGGAAATGGGATTTTGCAGTAACCTTCCCCTGGAGTGGGGAGGAAATGGGATTTTGCAGTATCCTTTCCCTGGATTGGGGAGGGAATGGAGATTTTACAGTATCCTTTCCCTGGAGTGGGGTGGGAATGGAGATTTTACAGTATCCTTCCCCTGCCACGCCCACCAAGCCACGCCCACCAAGCCATGCCACTCCCACCAAGCAACACTCACAGAACCCGTAGTAAAAATATTTGAAACCCACCACTGCGTTTCGCTATGCTTTAGATAAAACGCAATGATCTGGTTCAGGTCCAATGCTAACTATTAAGGCTAGTTTTAATACCTTAAGCTAAACATCCAATTATACTTTAATATGGATAAAGGTAGAGGTTCCCCCCGCACATGCGTGCTAGTTGTTTCCAACTCTAGGGGGCGGTGCTCATCTCCGTTTCAAAGCCGAAGAGCCAGCGTTGTCCAAAGACGTCTCCGTGGTCATGTGGCCGCCATGACTAAACGCCAAAGGTGCACGGAACGCTGTTACCTTCCCACCAAAGTGGTCCCTATTTTTCTACTTGCATTTTTTACGTGCTTTCGAACTGCTAGGTTGGCAGAAGCTGCGACAAGTAATGGGAGCTCACCCCATTACGTGGCGCTAGGGATTCGAACCATTGAACTGCTGACCTTATGATTGACAAGCTCAGCATCTTAGCCACTGAGCCACCACGTCCCTATAAAAAGTTAGGTGGTCCCATTGGGACTCGAACCCAGGATCTTCTGCATGTAAAGCAGACGTGATAACCACTACACTATGGAACCTGTATTTTACTATACTTTGGTGTAAATCAGACCATGCTGACCAACATTCCTCCTCCCCACAAGGCTTTATTCATTGTTTTCTTCCTAGTATTAAGCCGAATACTAGGTTGCATTAACAGAGGGATAGGATCAAGATCACACAAAGTAATAGTACCATTTTATAAAGCCCTAGTAAGACTACACTTAGAATACTGCATCCGGTTTTGGTCACCACAATATAAAAGAGATGTTGAGACTCTGGGAAAAGTTCAGAGAAGAGCAACAAAGATGATTAGGGGCCTAGAAGCTATAAAATATGAAGAATGATTGCAGGAACTGGGTATACCTAGTCTAGTGAAGAGAAGGACCGAGGTGACATGATAGCAGTCTTCCAATACTTGAAGGGCTGTCACAAGGAACTTATTTACCAAAGGACCTGAAAGCAAGTCAAGAAACTTGATGGATGGAAACCCATCAACGAGAGAAGCAACCTAGAACTAAGGAGAAAATTCCTAACAGCAAGAACAATCAACCAGTGGAACAAATCGCCTTTGGAAGCTGTGGGTGCCCCATCACTGGAGGCTTTTAAGAACAGACTGGACAATCATTTTTCAGACACAGTATAGATCTCCTGCGTGAGCAGAGGGTTGGACTGGATGCCCTCCAAGGTCCCTTCCAACTCTATTTCTGTTACTTAGAATGGAAAAGTAAGAGCAATGTTACTCAGAGTCAGATACTCTGTGCATTAAGAAATTAAAAATGGTCCCAGAAGAAGAAAGCGAGCTGAAGTTAATCAAGACAATAAAGGAAACTAAATCTCTTGAACTTTAGAATAACTTTATTGTCACTTGACATCTACACTAATCAGCCTACATTAAAATGAAATTTCGTTGCATGCAGCTCCATCTCCAATATACACTACAGTGCAAGTATATTGGAGGTGTACACTACTTGACAAAAATATAAATAAATAAAAGATTATGCATATACCCACACATATCCGTCCCGTTTCTTATGGCTTGGCTTTGCTGACTCCACAGATTTCAGATTGGAGCCAGAACGAGAAACGACACCTAAATGAATACTTGTGGAAAATATTTAATCAACATACGGAGAAACTATGTCTGGTAGCAACTGTAGAATTCTTGTTTCAGATAAAAATCTCTCGCGTGTTTGAAGTCTGGTATCCCAGACTAACCACCACATTTCCACAAACCTGAGTCATTTTCAACTACGTGATGCATTTTGGAAGCCAAGGGGTTTTTTTTTTTTTGTCACGGGAACCAATCCGCAGCTGCGGTTACAGTTTCTACATTTCTGGCAATCTTCATTGTCCCAAAAAGATGCTTAAGGATGGGGTGGCACCACATGAAGGAAGTTTGGGGAAAAAAATTCACTCGGGGCGTTTGGATTCAGAGACGGTTTCCCAGTGACATCAACAGAGCCAAGAGACTGCAGTGGTCCCTTCTCCCTCCATCATAGCATTACGAATGCCCTTGAGAAATAGTTATGCTTCAATTAAACTGCAGATAGAATCAAATAATGTGGTTGCTTGCATTCATTTTTTTTTTAAAAAAAAATATCTGGCAATAAACATATAGGATTCCCTTGAAGCACTGATTGTGTTGACATTTTGAGCCTCTCTATTCCTCCATACATAGCATGTCCAAGGCAGGATCCAGATACGATCAGAATAAACCCAATAAATCAGAATAAAGCTTTTCAAAGTCCTCCATTGGGACTCTAAAATAGGAACATTGAATTCTCCAGTAGAATCAAAGCATCTGGGCTTCCCATAAAACCAATGAACGATAATGATTTTAGAACTGCAAGCTGCCCAGAGTCACTTGGTTGAATTGGGTGGCTATAAAAATTAATTAGTTAATTGATTAATTAAATAAGATAAATGTTTTCAGCAAATCTCGGACTTCAAGCACGGGTAAGAAATTGTAATCTGCCCCTTTTATCTCAGTGGTGGAATCCATTTTTTTTTTACTACCAGTTCTGTGGGCATAGCTTGGTGGGCATGGCAGGGGAAGGCTACTGCAAAATCCCCATTCCCTCCCCACTCCTGGGGGAAGGATATTGCAAAATCTCCATTCCCACCCCACTCTGGGGCCAGCCAGAGATGGTATTTGCCGGTTCTCCGAACTATTCAAAATTTCCACTACTGGTTCTCCAGAACCTGTTAGAACCTGCTGGATTTCACCCCTGCTTCATCTGTATTCTTGCTGTTTTGGGAGTAGAAAAAAAAGAAGATTGGGATTGATCCCTCACACACACCCTCACTCAACTTTAATAGCATGATCAAACTTCTAAACTTACTTGACAAGCAAAAGAACTTTAAATATATTTAAGGGAATACGTGATTGACGCTTCCCACAGATTTGGATTTAATTTATTCTCACTGATGGAAAATGCTGTGAAGTCTACAGAAAAGAGAAGGCTGCCACCTCTAAGCACCACCGAAGGAAAGGTTTGAGGTGCGCTATTACACTAGAAATATTACAGAGCCAAATCCAGCTCCTTTCTTGTCAAGAAATGGCCTCTGGGAAAGACATTAAAAACCCTAACATCAGCAGGTGAGGACATAAATCAAGCAAAAACCAGATGAGCAAAGGGACTCTAGATTTAGGAAAGCGAATATCGCACCAAAGCAATTTAGTAACAAAGAGCTTCTATTTCTTTTTGCTCAGAAATATACTTGTCCTAAAATAAAGGATCCCCAGCCAAACTCAATCATCCTTCTGTTATTTTCATTATTTGGGAAGCCCCCCTCCTCCCCGAAGAATGAAATGTTTGGGAAATATTAAAAAAAAGGGGGGGGCAGAATATTCTATTTCCCTAAAGGAGAAATGGAGAAACATGTTTTTAGAGGCAGAAAGCAGCCCCTAAGTCTTTCTTAATAGCCCACAGAAGATGCCAGCACTTAAGGAGATAAAGAACTTATTGAAAGAGGAAACCAACTATCTAGATGGCTCTATTCATACGCAAAGCAAATACAAATGCAGGCAGAAGCCCGTTCAAGACAGGATGTTTCAAAACCCCTTGCAGCAAATTTTGACAGCAGAACGGTAGGATTAGAACAAGCACCCAAGATCCAACACAGGACGAAAGCCATTAGCCACAATAGGAATTGCCCATTGCACAATAGGAATTGCCCACTGCACAATAAGAATTGCTCACTGCACAATCCCCTCACCCCAGCAGCAGTTCAGGACCTCTATAAAAATCCTGGCACTCATCTAGCTAATTGTTCAGCTGACCCAGAACCACAAACTCTGGTAGTTCTGTTCACCAATAAATGGACCTTCTTTCCAATCAGCGTCCAGCCTCCATGTTGTTTCCAGCATCTTTTCACCCAGCTTGGAACTGAACCAGATGGATTTTTCTTCCAACAATTACAATAAAAAAAAAAACACCTTCCGTTTGGTTTGGTCATTCATTCCCACTCAGGAAGGGTTTTTTTGTTCTGAGTAAGCTGGCAAGATTCGAATACGCCTCCCCTTTGATCAGGGCCCCAGAGCAAAACCGACTTCGGTTCCCCCCCCAACTTTCGCGGCAAACATGGCTGAGATGAGCTAAACAAGTTGGACAATTCTATTTCTCAGGCGTGTTTCTACGATCGAGAGATCAAATTGCCCTCTGCTAGTTGCTATGTACATTATCCACATACCAGCTATAGGATTAACAAGCCCAAAGCTATTATTATGCCTATAACCTCCTACAGAGCTTAAATAACCCATTTCCAAAGCTAACCGTCATCCGGAGCTTCACTCTGTCTCTTCAGGAAGGCTCCTGCTAAGTTTCTTCTCTGGATACGGGGCGAAAAGGAAATGAGAGGCCCTTGGTACTTTCTAAGCTTGGTTGTTTTCTTGCAAACATTTCATTTCCCAACGTAGGTAGCATCATCAATGTTAGGATGTTAGGACTAGCATTGATAATGTTTATGGGGACGTTTTGGCTCAGTGGCTAAGACATAGAAAGCACCAAGGTCCTTGGGCTACAAATATGCTCCTTTAAAAAGGAAATATTGAAAAGTCCATGCTCCCTGCATCAAAACCACCACCCACCCACCCCCCAAAAAATTTCCTGGAGACCCTCAAGGAGAAGCAGTCTGAATTCCAGAAGACTGCTCTGTCCTACCAGTAAAAATTCAGCTTTCGTACAATCAGCGTGTGAGGATTTTGGAAAGATGGCGGGTTTCTGGAGAGGGCAGTGAACGTGATGCAAATGAAGGGAAGGAGAGGATTCAAAAGAAGATGTTTTGGCCCAAGAGTGTAGAAAGTTTGCACCCACCTCTCTCCTAGAAGAATGAAATATTTTGAGAAAGATTAAAAAGGCAGAATGTTATGTTTCCCTAAAGGGAGAAATGGAGAAACATGCTCTTGGAAAACAGCCCCCCACCTTTCTTAATAGCCCTCAGCAGATGTCAGCATTTAAGAGATAAAGAGATAGATAGCTCTATTCATAAGCAAATACCCTCACCCAAGATCCAACAAAGGTAGGATTAGCCCTCAGTCACAATAAGAATTGTCCAAAGCCCCTTCACTGCATCATCCTCAGAAACTTCAACCAAACCTAACTCAGACAAACGCCTAAGATTTGTACTTTGCCTATAGAGCCAGCTATGACCCCTACCTAACCCCTACGTGGCTCCACGAGTCTGATAACAGCCAATAGAATGCATGTTCTTGCACAGGAACAGGAAGCTGAAGTTCAAAGCCCAAGAGAAGGTATAAATACCCCTCACTCTCAACTCCATGTGTTCACCTGCACCAGAGAACCATGTGCTTGGTAGTTCATCATTAAACCATCTTTTGAAGCAGCCTCCATGTTTCCAGTGTCTTTCTCCAGCTTGGAACTGAACCAGATGGATATTTCTTCCAACAGGAGGAAAAAGGGGTGAGAATAGGTCAAGATCTAGATGGGTTAAGCAGAATACAGATCTCTAGGAGGGATGCAGACCAGGGGTGAAATCCAGCAGGTTCTGGAGAACCAGTAGCGGAAATTTTGAGTAG